TGGTGGTCTAAAATCGATAAGAGTAGGCTTCGGCCGTCACCCGCGCAAAATTTAAAATTTCCTACCAATTGAAAAATTAGGGGTGTCCCGCGCGCTCATATGACCTTATGCAGTTGCGAGCGCTGTAAAACACTTTACAAAAACAACAAAACCAACAAGTTATAACATCACACTACATAAGACTTTAAAATGCATTCATATCTCTTTGTTCTCATTTTCAGAGTCAAACTCAAGATGTTTTCACAATTCTAAATCATGAGTAAAGAAGGTGGGAAAATGACAAGACAATCCTTGCTGTTAAATAGTTGATATGTCTTTTTATCTCCCATGATATCTTAAAGTCAACAAAGACAGTAATACATTACAACATTGAATGACAGTTCATTCCATTTGATATACTAAAAAAACCCATATTTAAAACAAAAAAGTGCCTATGCCAACATCTACATTATTAAAAATTCAATAATACTAGAACAGAGTGACGCACCTCCTTGTATGCAAACAGAAAGAAAACTTTGCTCTATTTTAGAGACAGGAAATTTTTTACCAACACTGACACCTATAAATAATCATATTATAATGCTGCATGCGAATCATCAGGACCTTTTCTTTGAGAACGAATCACATTGTTGTAGTGCACTTCAGCAGAGTCCACAGTATATTATTACAATTACATGCATATCACAAAGAAGAGGGAAACAATTTTGATTTTAATGCTGTAAATGCCTGAAGAATGCACCAGTCACGGACTGACATCATCTCCAGTCTAGGTGGCCAGTTAAATCTTCACCCTACCAGCCACACAACAAATGGAAGCTGCTAACCATGGCGGACCAAAGTACCCAAAAGTCTGACTCGGACCATCTTGCTGAGACCTGTATCCATACAAAAATCAAAGTAAGTAAAACTGCTACACATCGTCATTAAGTAAGTTCATAGATAACTTCCCCTGAACTCTAAAGTGGCTGGTGCATTTTATCTCAAGTGCTAGACTAGTTGGGCACTACTGACTACTGAGTTCTCGAAGTGAATGGATGAGTGTAATTTTACGGATCAAACCGCTTTGTAGTAACAAGTTACACCTTCCTCCCACATCCAGCGTCTGTAGAGGGATGTGAAAAAACCTTTGACAAATCACTTGAAAGTTTTCACCGGCGCCACAAAACAGAAATGCACTGTGTGATCAACTAAAACAAAGATGTGCATTTCTGAGAAGCTACACAACAGAGCAAAATTGGTTGAACAAAACAATAAGAAGACAATTAGTGTTTAGTTTGATGGAGAGGGGCGCATTGACGCATTAACAACCATTTAGTACCCGGTACAGGGGAAAGCAAAACAGACAGAAACAACAAAGGGAAAGAAAAGAAGTAGGAATTAACACTGGCACCTTCCAACTCTATTTGGTGAAGTCTTATTCACAACAAATTGAACACAAAATGACCATTTTTTTAAAGACAAGCATTGGGCTTCATCTCAAGATAATGTGCTTGGAGTAAATAATCCTGGGAGGAAGGAAAAAAATATTCGGAACCAACTCATATTCAAACTTATCAGGAGCTAATTATAAATCCTGAAAAAAGAAAAGAAGTTGTGCCTTACATTCTGTGTGGTCTTATAGTCCAGAAGTTTTATGGTGGTCACGGGTGCTAGGAACATATTAAAAAATACATAATAAATAAAATAAATAGAAATGACTCAAAACATACTGGCATCCCATTATAACTATTCATGATCAGCTTCATTGCACAATAGTGAAGGAAATAGTAACAGTGCAATGATCTGACAATTATGTCCCGACACGATGAAATCAGGTGCTCGTCAATTTTTGGGCATATGAAGTTATTGGTATAATCTTAAAGCCTCTTAATATGCCTTGCTTTTGGTGAAAAAAACCCAAACTCTATTGAATAGAAGTTGAGATATTTTCGATTGAAGGAGATGGACATTGCCTAGTGTCAGAGGTAAAATTAGCAAGAAAGTGGCCCCAAAGGTTGGTGAGTTTTTAGAGCTGTAGTGTCTTTGAAGCAACAAATTGACATATTTTTGTGCCTTTGATTAATGTTTTTCGGTAAAATCCATGCAGGAATGCGTTTTAAAGTAGACATAGAAGGCATTGGGCCTAAAACAAGTTATTAATTGAAATTTGCCAAACAGACGGAAAAATGTTAATTTACTTGATTACATTATTTTGACGAGTGCCTGATTTCACCACGATATCTCACATTTAATTATTTTTTGTAAGTATGCCATCTGAATGTAAAGTAGAAGACATTTGATATATCACTTGTATTCAGTCTCCGGTGAGGAAAATTCAAACTTCAACCAAAACGACAACTACTTTTCAACTATTCAGCATCTGAAATATGACTTTATGATGCAGAAATTCAATAGTGAAACAGTATTTCCTTCTTCTACACACCCAATGATATTTAAGAAAATTATTTACTTTGTTAAGTTTTACACACAAACATTAACCATTTCGGACCAGCATGCACAAGCTTGGGGTCCAACAATTTTACCTGACAAGCACCTAACACACAGCTCTAAGTATACAATTGCAAAGATGATACAGTTCGTATATGACCAGAATATATGTACCAGTAAATAAAATCAACAAGTCAACGAGACAAAGGCAACATTTTCCTCAGTCTATGAAAAAAAGCAAGTCATTGAATAAAGCCACACCAGTAGGCTTATCTCTTTCATAACCGGCTGTAGGGCATAACGTTTACAAGTACAACCCACCACAGCAAAACAATGTCACACACAGGACTCTGTCGAGCAAGGATAACGGTTTCTTGGTTCTGGACATAGGGGTGAGTGTGTGTGTGAGAGTGTGTGAGTGTGTGCGAGCGTGTATGTGTGAGTGAGTATGTGTGTGAGTGTGTGTGTGTGTGTATCTATATACACAGGGGATCACATCAACAATGATGCTTTCCTGCAGTTTTATTCCCACTCTTGTAGATTTTATAATGACGACATATAAAACAACACACCATGTTGCATCACTTCACATCATACAAACACTATACCGCATCGTACAGCACAATACACACCCCATCACACATCATATCACAAAGATTATAACATAACACATAACATCATTATATCACATTGAATCACTTATTGCATAACACACAACATTGCTGACAGGCATCATTACGTTTACGCGACTGCTTCAGACTCATTTGTTTAAGTCTTAATAAGAGTGTGTTGGTGTTGGCAGGTGCTGATGTGTCTTGCTTTCACTGATGTCCTTTTGTGTACATGATTCATGTATGGCTGACAAAGTGCTTTCTTGCGTTGTTGAACAGGTTCTTTTGTGCATAGGAAATGGTTTTTCTTGTGTGTGTCAGGTTTTACTCTCAGTGATCAAGCCATCGATGCAAAGCACTCAGAGCTTCTACGCATATGGGATAGAGCGCTATATAAATGCATCTGTTATTAACATCATACCACACACAGCAGGGCACTTTTACATCCAATTACCAGCTGTAAACAAAAGCAAGCAAAGGTCACCCCCTCATCAAAAGCAAAAATTTCACAGGGAAAAATTTCCAAGGCCAATTATAGATGCGAAAATATATACCCACTGGCACATCAAAGCAGTCTGTTCATTTTATCAAATCAGTCATACTCGAGTGATGACCAAAAACTGAAACAGATGTTATAAGAAAAAAACCAAACAAACAAAACAAAACAATGCAAAAAGATTTTGGTGTTCAAACACAATGTCAAAACAGAAGAAAGAAAAATTGTTGCAAAATTGAGAACTAGAAATCCAAAAAGAAGATTAAAATGACTTCTTCCTATTATTACAGCAAGACAAGGGGACAACTGCGGCTGTTCGTTGACTCCCCAACTTATGAACTTGCCAAATCTCCACTTGATGCACCTGAGGGCAGCCAGGGCTTGTCATCCATCGAGGGAAAAAATTTACCATTCTGGCACAATTTACATAAAACCGTTCAAAACCAAATATGTTTGATTTTCTAAATGTGATGAGAATAATCAATAAAATAAGGCTAATACATCAGCTCTTTGTTTTTGCTCAGAATCAGCAGAGTGCAGTAGGCCCTGATGGGCTTTTTGAATGGACTTCCGGTTCAAAGTTGAAAATCAATGGAAAAACAGTTTGATACAGTGTGCACTGGCCAGCACAATTATGCCACCAGACCCAACCTGGCATTTGACCAACGGGCATCCGTTCTATGAAGCTGGACATAAATATGTGCACCATAAATATGAGGACGAGACATTCTGCTTGTGCAGCAACGACAAATGTTGGATCCTCATGAGACCAATAAGGAGGGCTGACTAGAGTTTGAACAAAGAAGTGCTCTTCTTCATATTAAGTATAACTAGGGAAAACATCGACAGAGACAACATAACAACAACAGCACTGCTGAGAAAGTTAATACTTAAAGTAACTAGTGAACAGGGAAGGGCTCTGTGAAAAAACATTACTCATCTAAATTCTTGAACTGGGAAATTTCAGAAAATCTGATTCCTACAAATAGTGAATATGAAACAAAGCAACAATTTCAAACACTGCAGAAGTTCATCAAGCTGAATTTTGAAACAAAGAAAATTGATTAACTGGGTGTGGCTTGGAGCCAGTTGTTAGTAAGTGATGTCCCTTGTTTTGTTTAAATTTAGCATTTACTTGGTTTTGTCAAGGAGCCCTTCACACACACACACACACACACACACACACACACTCACATGCCACACGCAGGCACGCCCCACTCTGATATGATCATATAACTCCCAGAAAAGGTCATCTTGTGAGCTTCTGCTAACACATGGAAAACATCACAGACAGTTTGCCCCACTGCACAATACAAGGTGCACATGCACACAGCAGTAATTGCACTGTATTATATTATATTGTATATTGTATTATTCATTTATAAGATCACATTCAATTCCTCATAACCCATTTCAGCAGTCAAGCACAAGTACTTTGCTCGTTAATTTACCAAGGGATTCAAACATTTTTTTTTCAAAAAGCAAAAAAATGAAAATCTAAAACATAATAAGCCCGGCATTGGTGCAAATACAAACTTGTTGTGGTGAAAAAATGATTGGCCTCACAGTGAAATATAATAAAGAGGACAAAGGCTGTACAGGGCTTAGCATGCAAACAACATATAATCATATAATGAATGGAATTTTCCATTTCTCCTCCACAAACTCCATTATGATCTTTTAAGTGTTTATTTTACTCAATAAAAGGCAGTTCAAATATTCTGATGAGTAAACGATTCCTGCACCCCACCCTCTCTCAACATAACTGCAACAATGAAAGGTCAATAGTTAGTAACAAAACTGGTCAGCATAATGCCCGCACAACAAAGTTAGTTCGAACTCACATAATGCACAGAGTTGATCAAACAAGAGCGATGAATGGGAACACATTTGGACAGAACCCATAACAATAGACACACAACACTATTTGGGGCCAAAACCAGTCCCAATCTTTCACACTGGCAAGAACATCGCGAGTTCAGACATCTTTTGATCAGACGGCACTGCGGTTCAGCCGAACACCATCTGTGCCGCTGCAGTTTAAGAGCGAGAAGTCCGACCGAGGTCCTACATGGTGATACCCATCACACTGTTGTTGGGTGAGCCCACGGGCGAGAGTCGCGTGGGCGATGAGGGTGGGGACTGAGGGGACAAGCTGGCAATACTTGGCTTCATGTCAGTCCACACTTTGGACAACTGGAAAACAGAGGGAAAGTAGAACAAATGTGACTAACTACTATATTGAAAACTATTCTTTATACTTCTGGCTGTTCAAAGCAAAGGGCTAACTAATGCTGAATAGGAGGATTGGAAAGGGAGGGGGGAGGGAGGGGGATGTAAAAAGAGTGCATCATTTCTCTTAATAACTTACTTCCAAGATATGGTAAGTTCTTCCTCTATAAATACCTTGATCAGGTACAAATGATCATAACAAAAGCTTTAAAAATCAAATATGTTTGAATGAGGAAAAATGAAATATGTCTTCATTACAACTTCACAATTACAGCTCTGACATAAAGTTTTGACAAACCTAATGGCCATAAATAGACAGGGAGATCTTATTGTTCCAAATTCCAGCTTTCTGTAATTTCTCCTCTTGTCAATGATCATGTTTATAGAACTTTATTAAGTGGTGGTAATTTGCGAATGACGACTTATACTTTAAAGTTACGACGAAAACACAAGAGTGGACCAAAAAGATATGGAGGTTGCCATCTAGTGGCAAATATATTGACTTGAGCCATGAAAGCAAAACACATAATCAATCTACATTATGTCTACTCTCAAACCAACAATTGGAGCTTCATGTGACGTCACTCTTGATTATTTTATGACGCCACACACAATGGATGAATGAAAAGAGATGGAGTTCACAAAAGAAAACACCCCTTTCTACATCTTTAATTTTAGTTTTAGTAAGTGTTTAAGAGGACTTGCAAAACAATAATGTCGTATAGTGCAGAAGATTAGAAATTTACAAGAGATTAACAAACACAAAAACAGAAGGAGAAGAGATAAGGACAATAGATGTTTGATGGGACAGAAAGCAGAAGACCACACCATAGCACTTGCCTATAACCCACTTACAACATCTTCTGTTCAGTGTAAACTTGGTAAACCAGGAAAACTGATCGATTAAAATTGGCAGAGTCTGAAGAGAATCTGATTGTTCATATAACATAGTCTGTCATTGGGCGAGAGAATTTAGTGAAGGGAGAGACACTCTCTTTTGTCCAACCATGTTTTGGCTTCCCAAATTCCTCTGTGAATTAGAAAACCACTACTGTCACCTGGCACCATGTTGCACAAGATCCCCATACCTCTAATAGACCTGCATGTGAGCCTCAACCAGATTGTCTGAAAATTTTGCGCAACCCCCCCAAAAGAGCTTTTGTGGGTGTCATAAGGAAGGACTTCCGAGTAACGAGCGACCACCCCAACAAACACAACAAAGAAAAGACCTAACCCTACCCCTAGGCCTACCCCAAAAAAGAACCTGCAACGAGCCTCATGTGAAAAGGCCAGCAAAAGTCCAAAATGAAAAACATTAAAAAAAATAAAAAACCACACTCCAAAACAAACAAGGCTTACAAGGAGCATAATATAATGGCCTACATCTACATATTGCTAGATCTATAATAATAGGGTTTGATACAATAACACAATAGACAATAGATTCTAGAATTGGAATATGAATCCTCCATATAGATCTAGATTCTAGTAAACTAAATAAATCTAGATCTAGCTAGATCTAGATCTTGTAAAACAAGTGAATAGGATCTAGATCTAGGAATAGGCCTTGAACTCAAAATCCGCATCCGATTCCGAACAGAGGGGCTCAGCTGAGTCTAGACTTGGTCTAGATATTAGATTCTAAATAAATAAATAATTCACGCACCTGATGAAATGCCTTTTACCAACATTAATAATATTACAGCACAACCTATGATACGGTTTGACAAAATAGAATTGGAATATGAATCCTCCATTGAGGTCTATAATGATCTATATAAATCTAGATCTAGATCTAGATTCTATTACCTAAGTGAGTCGGACTGGAATGAATCCACACGATCTGAACAATTGAATTTGTCAACAAAACAAAATTCAAAATGTCCGCTCGAGCACGAAACTGAAAGTAGATAATTTAGGTCGTCGTCTTTTTTCGTATTCGCATTTCTACTCAGGTTCCGACAATTATGTCGGAAACGCCGACGTCGGCAGTCGGTGGTCGGCACGAAAACGAAAGTGCCGACAAAGCCGACGGGAGAAAAGGGGGACGCTGGCAGTCGGCCAGGCCTCGCGATAGCATCAGCCGCCTCGCGGGTCGCGTCGCGACTGTCGGATTTCAGACGATTGTCGGCAAACATGCAGGTCTACTCTAAATGAGAACTTTGTGACAAGTCTGGACTTTCATCAGGGTTTGTGAAAAATATTAACCACAAAGAACTTGATATGAAAAAGGCGTGTGCCCACCGGATGCCCAATTTATTAACTAAGAAATAAAAAAAAGAGAGGGGGCAAGATGTGCCACAGAATAGCTCAACCACAACATATTTGAACGTCATGGGCCCAAGCAACTTACAAACATTGCCACGGGAGATTAATTTCCATTCCCTTTTTTGGAATTCCATTAAAACAGCTGGATCGCATGTGGATACGAAAAAAAAAGAGACACGCTGTCATTTTTGCTTTTAGGATTTCAAAGCAGAAAGAGGCTATTTGCTGTCTTTTTCAAATAAAGTGGTCCTCTTGTGGTTGATACCATGTCATACTACTATGACTTCTTACTATGTGCAAAAAGTACTGCACCAGGTGAAAATTGATGTTGATGAGCAGAAACCTTAGATCAGAGCTGCTCGCACAATGAACCTCCACAACAATGCAGCCCCCCACAAAGTAACAGGAACAACTGTGTGTGTGTAAAGACAAAGGATCCAAGTCTTGCTCATCCAGCCAACAGTCCTGACTTTGCTCCCTGTGACTTCTGTGTATTTCCTATTCTAAAAGATAAGTTTGCTGAACGGATGTTTGAACGAGAGCTGAGAAGCATACCGAAAGTTAACTACTGCTGTGCCTTTCAGAAATGGCTGTGAAGGCTGGAGTCAGTATACAAAGTCGAAGGACTGAACATTTCAGGTCCATAGCATTCAAGGTTTTTGAAATATCAAACAACTTTCATTACTTTTGACGTACCCTCAAGTTCCTGGAAGTTTGAAGTCAATCAGACAATATGCCTTTTTGCATTTATACTCATGCCAGCAGTCTAGCGGTTAGAGAACGTAGGCTCAAAATAATGTCAAGCATACATGTCTGTTACGTTATGCTTATATGGGAGTGATCACTGGTCTCACTAAGTGAAGAACGCACAATAACCCTAGCTCAACAAGAGGGTGCTGCATGGTAGTGACCTACATTGGTGGGTTTGTTGTGACCTTGATGAATTATTGAATATATGAACTGATATATGTATGTTAGCCATTGCAAACTTGATTTCCCAATGGGGACCAACAAGAATGCTATTTTATTTTATTTTGCATTATATTCTAAAACAGTCCTCAAGCCTCTCCGATTTCTTACTCACATCAGCACTGGTGGCTGCCTCCACATTAGCCATGCACGTGACAATCTCGTGAAAGATGTCCAGATGTGCGTGGATGAGCTGCGTCTCCATTTGGAGGCAGTGCAGAGAGTAATAGTTCCGGTTCTCCATGTTGGCGATCTGGCCCTCTTGCTGCAGGCAGAGAGAGAGAGAAACATCAGTTCATGAACAGGGGAATTCTTATCTCAACACAAACAGAATGAGAGAAACATCAGTTCATGGACAGGGGAATTCTTATCTCAACACAAACAGAATGAGAGAAACATCAGTTCATGAACAGGGGAATTCTTATCTCAACACAAACAGGATGAGAGAAACATCAGTTCATGAACAGGGGAATTCTTATCTCAACACAAACAGGATGAGAGAAACATCAGTTCATGAACAGGGGAATTCTTATCTCAACACAAACAGGATGAGAGAAACATCAGTTCATGAACAGGGGAATTCTTATCTCAACACAAACAGGATGAGAGAAACATCAGTTCATGGACAGGGGAATTCTTATCTCAACACAAACAGGATGAGAGAAACATCAGTTCATGAACAGGGGAATTCTTATCTCAACACAAACAGGATGAGAGAAACATCAGTTCATGAACAGGGGAATTCTTATCTCAACACAAACAGAATGAGAGAAACATCAGTTCATGAACAGGGGAATTCTTATCTCAACACAAACAGGATGAGAGAAACATCAGTTCATGAACAGGGGAATTCTTATCTCAACACAAACAGGATGAGAGAAACATCTGCTCACAGAGAAGGGAATTTCTATCTCGATACTTTTCTCCTTAGATATTAGATTGACAGCTAATTAAGTGTTTGTCTAAGAAAGAGACAATACACCTAGCTTAATTTTAATCTCAAGATGGATTTATAGGATTACAAGGACAAATTCTAATTCATTGTAATGTGACTCATACTGTTCGACATCCCGTGCTTTCAAAGTACATAAGCCCCAATGTAAGCCAAGCGAGGTAGTGGTTCAACTAAACTGTCTCATCATGACATTAAAGTTTGCAAAACTACCAAAACTAATTTAGATGAGTGGTTATTACGTCTTATGTAGAAATTTAATACAAATGACAACTAAAAAATATCTAGCGATATAAATATGAAAGAGAAGCAGACCCTACAATCAACACCTTCAAAAAGATCCTTGTATCACAGAAGCACCTGTCAAGCATGTGAAACGTATATGTTACGATGCACTGGAATCAGGTGCTCGACAATCTTTGGGCACGACGAGTTATTGGTATCATATTAAAGCTTATTCATTTGTCTTGTTTTCAATGTAAAAAATATCTTTCTATCTTGAATAGAAGTCGAGATACTTGCAATTAAATTAGGTGGGGGCCGCCTGGTTTCAGAGGTCATAGCTGCCACTCAGGAATTTTTAAAAAGGAGGAAATTCACGCGAAGGCGCACGCACGCTCTCCGAAGGCCGGAGTAGTAAAACCAGTGAGATCCAGAGGCAATATATTGGAAAATATAGCCTATGGTTTTGAAGGTAAAACTGTCATATTTGTTAACCATAGGCTACTGAATTTTAAAATGTATTTGAACCCCCCCCCACCCCCACAAGGCACTAAGTTGACTAACAAGCATTTGACACAGTTTGGTGACTAAAAATCCAGTGTTTGTTGCGAGCTGGTGCGTCATAGGAAGATCTTTCATTTTTAACTTGCAGGCTACATCGATGTAGAGCAGTATTGGAATTGGATCAAGGAGGCAACACCTTTGCCGCTGTACTGAGGGATTTCGAGGCACTTTTGTACAATTGCAGTCGCGTTTGCACTTAGATCTAGTGCCCCTGTAGTGTGTTTCTTTTTAGATCTAAACTGAATTAAAATTATAGCCTAGGCTATCTAATCTAGATCTAGAATCTAGAAATCTAAATATGTGTAGATCTGGACTAAATCTAAAGATACATTATCAAGGCTATCTAGATCTAGATTTAGGTTCACTTTCACAGTCACAATAGCCGTCAGGTAAACAAACGGGACCGCAATTGTACAGGAGTGCCGCGATTTCTTTATCGCACCAAACGCGAAGTGCAGCAATTTTCTAATGAACTTTTCAAGTCGCACACCGGCTGCTTCTTTCTCATTCCAGCTCCATTTATTTTTGCATTTTGCCTCAATTTCTCTCGAATTTCCACCGTTTTCAATGACAACTCGGCACGCCAATGTCCCGATGCTCGATCGACACTGTGTTGCTCCACGCCACAGACAATGTGAAACTAGTGCTTGGCCTTGGCACAGAAAAACAGAAGTACAAGTAGCCTACAAAGCTACGAGCGGACATTCGCAAGCCGCATTTTTGCCTCTCGCCCGGTTCGGTGTCTTCCGCGTGTAAAAAAAAAAAAAGTATCGCGATTTGCAACCGAGAGTGGTCCAGCGGAGGAAGGAGGAAAATGGCAGGGAAAGCCAGATGAAGCGGAGTTTCCGCTATTTAGCGGGAAAGTGGCAGCTATGACAGGTACTGTTAGCGAGAAAATAGCCATCAAAGTTCAGTGTCTTCCATAGATTGAGAGTCCTTCGAAAATGCAAATTTACACTTTTGTGCCTTTTATTTTGACAAGTGTCTGATTCCACCGCGTTGTGACACATATCTCCATTTTAATTGATAAAAATCTCTGATGCTTTGCAAAAACAAACACACACACACAAATAATAACACATCCCATCCCCTGGACCCCTCCACTCCATCCGGAAAAATACACAGAACAGCACAACACAGAGCAAAACTTACTTCCAGAATTCGTTGTTCCAGCTGTTCAACAGCTCCAGGCTGGGGGAGTAATAAAGGTTCTTTTTAATGCAGGTTTCTGATATAACAATGATGGAAAACAGAGCAACAAAGGTAAAGGTCGATTCAAATTTTAAAAACCCCAACGATCTAACCATAGTTTTCCTCCAACATAGGCCATGACGACTCGCATTTTTCAATCAAGATAGTGATCTGGGGCTTCCATGGGACAAACAACCATTCAATGCCATGTCGTGCACTTCTTGAACCCATGGGTACGTGAGAAGCAAATTATTACATCCTATTTTTGTACAGATCAGGGAAAATCCAGGAAGTAAATACTCTCAAATAATAATCTTTCTTTAACTGGTGTCCACCAACCAAACACAGGGCTGCCCACACACTAGCATAGATTTAGTAATCAACAAATAGAACATTATTTATTTGGCATAAACAATCGTAATACGGCCATGGATGTCTTCCTCACTGGGGTTTCAAGTAATAAGGTAACATAAACAAAGGCGTGATGATTAAAAAAAAAAAGGTCTTGGTGGGCTCATCATTGTCGAGTTAAGAACAAAAAGGGGAAAAGGGGGGAGTGGGAAGGGAGGAGAGGAGGAGATACTGTTTTTAGTTTTTAGTAAGAGTGTTACGGTGCTTGCAACCGCACAAGGCCATATGAGCACGTGAAACACAAGTTTGTTGCATTCCCAACAGTTTACTGCATGGCTTGGCTTGGATCAACAATCAGATTTTAAAATGTTAAACACTTGAGGTAAAATAACAATCTAAAAATGATAACCTCCTAAAAAAGCCTTTGGAACTGCAGACTACATCACAAGCCTTTGACCCTGACTGCAAAACACACCATGCCATGAGCCAACAGCACTAATTGTTGTTAGTTTCAAACAATGATCCTTTAAAAAAAAATTTGACCAATGGCACAGGCTGTCACTCACAACATATATGGGAATGAATTTCTTACACCTTGTGAACCTAACGTTTGCCTTACTCCTGGCTTAGGCACTTCTATAGTCTAGTTATTTTAAAGATTTCTATAATCATCACTTAATGGACATGCTCTGGAGCATTTCCGGAGGACATTGCAAAGAAAGAGCCCATCATCATCCCAGGGAGACATTTGATACAATCAATAGTGCAGGAAACAGGAAGAAAAAGAACAGGAGAACAAAAAAACATGTGAAATCAGGGGCATGAGAAGAAAAAGAGAAGTAAAATAAAAAGAGAATAAAAAGAGAAAAGTACAAAGAGAATAAGGAGCAGGGCAATTTAAAAAAAGGAGAATGAAGAGGTGGAGGATGAAAACAAGAGGACAATAAAAAAAAAATATATATAAAAAAATGGAGGAGTATCAGAAGAAGAAAAAAAAAAAGAGAAGAAAATGAAAAAAAAAAAGATGAGGAAGAGGAGCACATAAGGAATTCCCCCCCCCCCCCCCCAACTCATCATGTTTCTAAGCATTCACCTCTGTAGAACTCTGCCGCTGCATGGAGGAAGACATCCGCTTCTTGTACTGTCCCATTTTTTGTATGGCCTTTTGATGCTCATGCAGGACTCCCTTCTCATGGCGGTCACACAGGTCCTGAACAGACAGACAAGTCAGTAAGACATACCAGTGTACCACTTGGCCATGATCTACCACTTACTCTGCCACATCAAGCATGTGTCATCACTAAAGCAATTCTATATCACTATTTGGGCTTAGAACTTCCAAGTTCCAGTTAATTCAGCGTGAAATCTGCCCTTTCTTTTTTCAACAACATTGCCAAACTGGCTTAATTTCCTTTTTAATTCCTATGATTTGATTTGACCAGACAATTTATAACGAAAAAACATCCTGAAGAATCAGCAAACAGCTCCCAACGGAGTCTATCAGCTGGCCTACATCAAGTCATTCAGCTATGACTCCCCCCTCCTGTACTGGAGCTCTTGGTGAAACACTTTTAGATTCAGACCACTTCAGGGGAGAGCTGATTTATAAGCTCAAATGGTATCATGCTGAACTAGTACATAGATTAGGCAAGTTCAAACCCCTAAAGCTGCATTCTTATACCTGGATTATGAAGAGTTTTTTAAGACTCCATCCATTTTGCTTGGTCCTATCAGAGACATACATTAATTTGGAAGTTATGCCCCTTAACTCACTCAATCCCGTGACTAAGATATCTCGATCAGCTCGTGGGCTGCGTACAATCCCACGACCAAGATAACTCGATTTTATAGTTTTATTCCGTATACTAGTGAAGTCGTTTTGGAAAACAGCCTCAAGTTTTATATAAGATTAATTTATTATTTCCCCGGCCAATTCTGCCTAGAGGGGAGCTGGAATTTTGTTTCTACTGTCATTACACACGGAGAAATCTTGATTTTTAGAAAGGCACTCTCAGCACTTTTGTTTACACTGATCAGCTAAGAATGTCTCGCAATCGATTTTCTCTACCTTTCTCACACATACATTTTTTAAATTCATGAAAGTATTCAACAGTCTTTATTATACATGAAATACAATAAATAGATCTAGACACTCACAAGCATATTTGAAATTCAGTGTAGGCTTGCTCTTGCTCATTCGGCCATGAAAAAAAATTGTAAGCCCCCCAAAATATCAAATTTGTACAACACACCAAAGCAAAACTACTAAAGCTACATACTTCAAATTTGGTATGTCTACAGATCTATCTTAGGTTGTACTTAGAGCTAAATTTCAAAGCAATTGAATTATATTAATGGTTACTAGTGGGACCTTTCATTAGAGCCAAAATGACAGGTTTCTGGGTACAATTTCGGGAAAAACTCCCGGGATTGAGTGAGTTGGAGAATATAACAGTGATAAAAAGGGAGTTAAATCCATACCACACTAGACCCCTTCACACAAAAGACTGTGCTCAGCTTGTGGAAAGGTAAAGGTGGCGTGTTGAGACAATGTAATGGGGCCTTAGCAGATGGCAGGAGAGATAGAGCCCTTTAATATCTGCATCTGCCCTAACTATGCTCCCAGGTTTAATTTCTTAGTTTCAGTTACAGTTTTATGGCACTTACAACACAATAGGTCATAATGTGCTGAAGATTAGAGGTATTACAAGATTGCAAGAGAGTAACAAACACAAAAAAGAAGGAACGATAAGGATGATAGATGTTTGACAGTAGGGAGGGAGCAAACCACACCAGAGCACCCACTAATCACCCACCCCCTATGGAGACAAGCAACACAAAAAGCAGTACTAGTAAAGAAACAAGAGGTACAAAAGTCTCACTTACTCTGTAGGCCGAAATAAGGTCCATGAAGAAAGAAAGCTTTTCCACTACTCCCTCTTCTTCGTCGACAGCCTGTGTGGGAGACAATGAGATACTTATAGAATCGTACATGAAATAAACTGATCACTTCCCTTAATGTGAGTATCCCTGCGTTAAGACAAGCACATCCACCAGATACAGCTATTTAAATAAAAGCAAGTCTGCTCCGTATCAACAACATTTAGCCAGGAACAGATTAGGAGAGCGGTAGCACTGAATAGAAGAAGGAGAAAGCCCAGGGATGTCAAGTGATGTCGGTGGTCTAGTGGTTAGGCTCTCGGACTCTCAGAAGTAAGGTTGTGAGTTCAAATCCTGTCAGGGGCTTGATGTTGTCCTAGGGAAAGGAGCTTTCCTCAGTTCACCCAGTTGGGAAGCAGAAACTGGCTACAGACTGCAAAAGATCTTGTCTGTTAGTGTTTGATCGCTTAATCAGTTGCTTGAAATGTATGCTTCCCTGGAAACTGAGAATTCTAGGGTCCATTGTGGTAATAATAGTTGTAAAGCAAATAGAGCATACTGTAAAGGGTAGATATGCGCTTTATAAATGCAATTATTATACTGTGAAAATAACTGAAACTTTATTAACTTGCATTTGAAAACAAAAAAACACAACTAATCTGGGATTTAACAGAAAGTTAATGCTGAGAATTATAACCACTTTCAAGCACAGAAGATAATCTGCCAATTTTATAATGCCAGTTTGTTTCTCGTGCTGATGTGACAAGGGACTATATAACTACCCCCCCC